TCCAGCTGCGTGTCACATTTTTTCCTATTTTTTCTTCCCTTTTCCTTTATTCCACTTAGGGGATGGGGGATAAAGGAGTTCAGCAAAACATGCCAGTAACGTTGTTAACGACCAGAGTTTTACGACCAGCCGGCTGCTTGACGTCCTTGGAAACAAACATATATTCCTTCATCTGTGGGTCACACAAATACTTACCCCATGTGGAAATTGAACACACAACCCCTGGTGCCGAAGCCGATTAGCTATTGCACCACCGGCTTATACTATGTGTGTGTATATATAGGCGAAGGTTTCGTCGGGTTCGTGAACAGCTAAGTAACAATGCGTAATCTCCGTTCTGTCTATAAAGGCTAAAGTGTCTACGATCGTTTGTTTCATTTCATACTTTTACTTTTACTTGCATAAAGCCATTATGGAATATTAGGTAAATAAACTGATATAATCAAACTGACGCGTGACCGATCCGCCGAATTAAGTCCGATCGTTTCGTATTCATAAGATTATTCTCTACGTCTTAAAATCAAATGTTGGAATATAATTTTCATTGAGCTGATGTTTACAGATCGCGTATCTTATCGCGTTTTTATTTTCATTTTACTTTAGTTTACAACGAAATCCAGATGTGCGTGTTTTTAAGTGTTTTTAACCGATTTTGCGACTCAAAGGAGAATAAACTATTTCTCGGCTTATTATTATATTATGTTTGTTCATTTACGGCAATGTAGAGGACAAAAGTGTAGACTGAGTTTGATTATATTACGTCAATTGAATTATCTTCTTGCAAGTGTCACTAATGCTATGCATTATGGTGACAAGAAGCTTTCATATTTCGACAAAGTCACAACTGTGGCAGGGCCACGCAACAGTCTACGCTGTTGCACGAATGAACACGCCATGGAAGTATACCTGACAGAAAATCTGCGCGAAGTTCGTATATCTTCAAAATGAATTTTTGAAGTTATACTTCTTTTAGCACGTTTGGACAAATTACGAGAGGAAAATTTTTACGTTGCGCGCGAACGCCGACCATTAAAAAGCGACATGATGCTTGGTAACAAATTGGCAACCAATAACAACTTTTTGACATTTACCAATTTATTGGTAAATTTGAAGTAATTTAAATAAACCGCTATCAATTGCATTTAATATCTTTATGCTAAAGAAGTACAACTTCTTACAAGTATACATAAGAACACCATGATATATGCCAGAGCATAGAACCGGATGAGATATGCTAGTTTATCTAATACTGTTGTTTTCGTTCACTCCCAAGTTCGTGTACCAATGCGATCAGCAATGAGAGATGAAATTAAAATTTCAATTGATGTCGTTCCTTGATTCGGGTTGGTCTAGTTTACTGAATTAAAAGCGATTGAATATATCTGAAGTTATCTGATTATTGTACTGATATTTTTATATCCAATCGCCTCTGACATCATTCGACGCTATACTACTTTCCTCTTTGGTAGTTGGTCAAGTATAGTTTCCGCTACACATATGAATATTTGAGCAATTTCATTCTTTCATTGCAATCTGAATTATACATTAGTCAAAAAATTAGCATTACGAATTGATCACTAGAGACAGTTGTCTTCTAATGAAATCAATGAAAGAAACGGACACGCATATTGCTGTCAGGAGAAATAAATATTTCATCAAACCATAAAAAACGTTTTCTATTGAGGTTAATTCAGTATAGTATAGCAATTTTAGCAGTGATTCGCTGGCGGAAGTGATCTGATTCGTGATCTACGGTCATTGGTTCGAATCCCAGTGTGAACCGATGAGGTCGTCATTTTTAACATTTTCTACGTACATTGGTGATCACGTATGTACACGGCGATAAGCTTATTGCCTCTTACGTTTGAGATTTAATTAGCTGTATGTAGCGAAATAAACAGAGCACTAGCTATTACTGTTATTTTGAAAAGTCGTTACTTCATTTTACAAGAACATTACCCAAAAATGGGACCTCATATTTGATGGAACTGGTTGAAGTAGGAACCGTGTCCATAAAGAGTGTATTAGAAAGTGAATCATTCAGTCTGTTATGGCTTAACCACAAACAGAAGATTATGTGAAACTTTAAAAAAATGTTTGATTTCTAGGAAAGAAGGCTCATTAGGCTTCATTAGGCTAATTTTTCAACAGAATATAATCTTATGTTAGCGAATAAGAGTTGTTAATTAATAATACTAAAAGTTCTAAATCAATGGGATTAACAGTTACATGGCTACTATGATTATTTATTTATTACTTAAGATAAAATTTAAACGTGACTTTAGTAGACACATTGTCGTAAAACTTTTAGATAATCGGCTCAGCTGGAGCGTCTGGAAGCTTACTTAAAAGATGAAGGTTGAAGTCATTGCAGCGACATGATTTTTATTAAGTGGTGTGCCTTCGTTCTCTCTCGCTGATCAGATGAAACTCAAGAGTAAAAGTACTATGCGTGTTATCCGGTCGAACCGGATCATTTGCCCGTACAGGGCATAATGTTTGTATGCCATCCGGTTAGTTACGTTGTCCTTCAACCAACTAGTGTTGTGACATACTATATATTCTCACTGAAAATGACAGAATACACTTTATTTCACACAAAGAAATAAATAGACAGAAAATACAGGAAACATAGTGCACAAGTAAGCAGCCTTATTGCTGAGGTAGGAATTTCATCAACCTTCTTAGTACGATGCGACGGTCAAATTTCGTTAGTGACCATAAGTAGTGGACCATAGTTGGAGTTAGCCTAGTCGAAAGACACATTCTATTGACTAGGCAAGTACAAGACTAGTGGAAGTAGTAGTTTCAGGATAGATCTCACTAAGTTTCCAGAAAACCTTCTAAAGGTCCGCAACTAATAGGACGACTCCTTTCATATAAAATTGCATATAAAGGGATTATATTTTTAACTCTATTTGTCTTAAATGAAAACCATAGACACTTTATGCATTATGAAAACGTAGGCTAACTGTAAACCGGTGACGCAAAAACTTGTTTTACTCCGACTATGGTCGATTGGCTGTGGTCCCTTACGCCACCCATAAAGCTAATCCAATACGGCGATCGTCCATTGTTATTCTAGAAAGTTCCATAATACCTTTCCTTAAGCGATTCTCGCTGGCAGGTGAATACTCTATCAACGTTTCATACCGTAGAAAGCGAATGCATTTGACTCCATAGTATAATGCATTCAGTGTAATTCGTGAATGACAAATTGCGTCGGAAAAGCTAAGAAGTTGCATTTCTTACATCATTGAGATGCAGAGATGCATTACGTAAAGGTTCCCACTCTCGTTCATATCTTTGTCTTTATTATATCTATCCTCATTGTTCTTACTTTTAATTAAACTTAATGAGTTAATAATGTGCTGCATGTATATGAAATAACAAAATTTTAGTACAAAATAATTCAAAGTTCTGACGCAATTTTACAACGCAGGAATTGTTACCCTACAGTAAGGGCAATGTTTAAAAAAAATCACTCAAACCAATGTTAGTTGTGAAATACTCCAAACGGCTTATGATAGCATAAAAATCGAAATGTATGTGCATAGATATACACAATTATGTGTGCGTGTATTTACACGCACACATAATTGGATAATTCTGCTTGTTACCCTACACCAAAGTGTTGTGATAGTCAGATGCTGAACAACAATGGCATGTGCTTATAATAACGGCGAAAATGATTATTCTTGTAAGGCCTTCCGCGGCAATTTCCTCTGAGCTTGGCGTCGTTAGAGCAGAAATGAGACGCGTCACCGCTGTCAAATTCAAAGCCAGAGTCGCACTGAATGTCAATGTCTGAACACTTTTGTTCAGTACAAGCTAATTTTACACTTCTAAACACATGCTAATCTACCTGGGGATTTAGATCGGTACGGGGTTTAGAATAGATGTTATTAGATTTTATTTAATTTGCTTTTCAAAAGGTTTATTAGATGTTCAGTGGTCATAGATTATTCCTATTAGATTTTTTGGGTGTAACAATTCTAAACACAATGACTCCGCGGCGCCGTTGCGAAGCTATCGGCTTCGACGTCAGGGGACGTGGGTTCGATTCCCACACGGGACAACTATTTGTGCGATCCACAGATTGTTGTGTCGGATCTGGGTGTTTGTCCATGTGAAATTTGTGTTTGTAAAACGTCCTTACAACACAGGATAATTAAATCATAAAGTAAAGGCCAATATTAAAAAAAAAAAAAAAACAATTGCCAGGGATGTTGTATAATGCCCTATACCTATATATATGCTATCTAACAAGACTCGCTGGGTAATGACTATTCCTACAGGAGACTGTTGCGTAGTTCATTCTCAGGGTCCTAAAATGCAGATATCATAATTTTCTATGTTATCGGATATTGTATGATATATAAATCTCATATCGAAAGCCTTTTTCCGTTTATGTTATTGGCTTTTTATGGCTACCTCCAAAAGTTCTTTTTAGGTGATTTTCTCAATTGCAAAGGACGTAGTAAATCGGCCATTTAAATTGGACCGCATTAGACTTGGATTTGAACTCGGATTAATCGAGTGTAATGAAATTGTTTCGAAAACTGAGCCGCTGGTAGTGGACCAAAGACGTCGGCAGATTTTATCTAGATCTCCAACATCAGCAAATCTGGTACTTTATATAATATTCGCTTAGATATTTCCCACGAGTTAAAACTGCGCGAGCTACAACTTCTTTCAACCGAGAATACATCATGGAAAGCTTTCAAGCTTTTAATATTTATATTACTTTACGTTTCTTTCCACTAATGATAGGATATACCTAAAACTCCTAGGAATAGTTGACAAGCATTGACTTTAATCACATTGGTGCGTTTGCCGCTCAAATATGCATGACTAATAACTCGTTTGTAATTGATCCAGTAGTTCATGTATTGTGTGTTTGTATAATGACTGAACACACAAGATAATTTCATACCATAGTAGATACTATGCAGATACAAAATAGAACTCGTGACTTTCTCTCGCATCAAGGCAGTCTAGGGGCTGTAATTGGGCACCCGGTAATTGGACGGGCGCGCCGCAGTCATGTGGACCATCGTCAGCGGCATTCGCGAATTGAAAACGATCCCACGCGTGGGAACCGCGTTTGCTGAACGCATCGCGACAATCAGAAGTGGTGCGGTATCGAGATGAGACATTAGAAAGTGGTGCCCGCCCGTCCCGGCTTCGAAGGCGTGACAGCGCTCGGCCCAGATGCGGCGCGGATCGTGAGCCACGCGCCCCCGATGGGAAGAAGGCTGCCGCAGCCCAGTGGAGGTCTTAACGAGCCCGCAGCGGCGGAGTTATGCGAAAAACGAAATGATAGTCGAACGAAACGCGAACTGTGTTCGTTCAACTATTTTGTACGTAACGAGGATGGCGACTCTAATGATGTTCAACTTCAACTTTCGCGGTTGGCGATGCTTCCACATTCAGATTGCGTCGAAACAAAAAGTCGAAGCGAAAGCGAAGACTTCGAGTTTTAAAAAGTGTTTAGCGAAGTTGTAGAATCCTGTTACAACGAACAACACAGAAACACGCAAACGTAGTTTTTACCTTCAAAGCACATATGTTTGAGGAACATTTATTCGAAAAATTCCATGATTTTCTAACTCAACTTAAGTTCCTCATTGTATTTATTAGACAGATTTTCTATTAGTCGATGATATTTCATAATTATAATCGCTGAATAATTTGGTCTCGTTTCTAAAGATTATTCTAGACGTTATTTGTATTAATATTAATATTTTACAATTACAATACTTACAGATGTTTTTAAATCAAGAATTTTTTAGTCTAAAAATTAATACATAGGTGCCAGCTTTGCTTAAAGTTGGTAGCACAGGAGATGGTGGTGCCGAACTGTCTTCTCTTTACCTAATTATGTGTACGGTCCTCCGATTTTAGAATAATAATTTCCAACTCATCCCCAACAGATAAGAAAACAATAAGTCTAACTGCCAGTATTGTTCCCGTCATCGTGCGTAATGATGATAACTGAACGGACCACGGCCTCTGATGTAAGGCGTTAATTTAAGTGTAATAATAAGTTGCTCTATCATTACAGCGTGCGGCGGAGATAGAGCGATCGTTAGAAGGGCCGTGGTCAAAGTCACAAGAACATCGCTCGAGCCGCATCCAACCTACCAACGCTGGACTAACAACTAAACTGGACTAACTAACAACTAAACTAAACTGGACAACTAACATCGAACGCGACGTGGAAGAAGTTTGAATTAATGGCCGTGGAAAAAACTAACGCCATCGAACATCGTGATGTAACCATCGCTAAATTTACGAGTAACAAACTAAACTGCAGTAGTAAAATACGCCATATAGCGATTAAATAACAAAAGCCTCGGAATGATGGCACTTAACGTCGGTAAAAGAGAAATTTAGTTATGAAACGTTGCATCATATAGACTACAGATCAATGAATGGCGATGGTGCCGTAATATAGACACGATTATTTAATTGACGGAGTCAGTAACATGCCGTAAAGGTTGAATGAATTATCAACAGTCGTTTGAAGCGACGTGAGAGATGAAAATTGCAATGATAACTACTTTATCAAGCAGTCTTTGAGCTTTGAAACATATCTCCAGCTACATCCGTGTTGTTATGCTGCTATAATTAACCGAATGCAGGTTCGAGTCCCGTTCCGGTTGGCAGATGGCTACACATGAAAAGGACGGGTGAGTTTCAATTTTATACTAGCCGCTACCCGCAACTTCCTTTATTCAGTTCACATATTGCATTTAATGTATGCGCATTTATTTAGGAGCGTAAATTTGCTTTGACCTTAAATCTCAATGAGCAAGTGCTTTAGTCTCAATCAAATTTTACGGTGGTAGGGCAACGCATCAGCCTCGGGTGTTGCACGAATGGGCAGACCCGTCCGGGTAAGTACCACGACCTCACAGAAGACCGGCGTAAAGTGTAAGTATGACAAATACTTTCGCGTTTCGTCTGGTGAGTGAGGTAGCTGGAGTCCAATTTTCACCTTACATCAGGTGAACCGTCTGCGCGTTTGACAAATTATCGCAAAAAAAATTCTCAATCACCAGTTTAACAATATTATTAAGAATAAAAAGTTACCCCTTTTTTATACGTATAATTTTAATACCAAAAGATCTTAATGTGTTTCTCATAAATTAAAATATTTGCCGTGAAAACTTTGTTCCGAATTTAATGGATTTCAAACTTGCTGTGCGGAATTAATTTTTTCATCATAAAAGTAGTCAAGTAGTAAATTACCCTAAAACATGTAGAAAAAGTACGAAAAGATTGTCGTCGCTGTGGGAATCGAACCTGGCATTCGCGGCCTGACATTCTAGCCACTGAGCTAAACGGCTGATAGCCACAGTAACGAAATTCTTAACGCCTTCTTTCTACTTTGTTATTTAGCATTTGAAGCAATGCTTGGCGAATCTATTGTTATATATATATATATATATATATATATATATATATATTGTTATATCATACTAGATGTTTTAATGTTTAATCTCAAGTGCAGAGATTAGCACTATACAAAACTTTAAAAACAATTAGTAAATTACTCATTATAACATAACCTATCGGTTAGCTTACTTCCGGCATAGCATAATGCTGAGATGCTTACCTAAGTTACCGGAATGGGCGTACAATATTTTTTGTTTGTTAAAGTTCTTTTTCATTTGTTTTATATTTTAATTATGTGTTTGTGTTCTTTTGATTTACGAAAGTTTTAAACTTCCACTTTACGCCGCCTTTCTGTGAGGTCGTGGTACTTACCCGGACGAGCCTGCCCATTCGTGCAACAGCCGATACTGCTGCATGGCCCTACCATAGTTTGATAACGGTTTCATTGTACGGTAGTCATTGTATTTTCACACTGCTATGTCATGCAGAGTTAATATAATTTCAACTAAGCTTGGTTTAATATGTTGAAATATAACCAACTGTGTTTGAGAAACCAAAAATATAACCAACAGTGTTCATTGGCATTCCTTGAAAACCGCGAAAAAAGAAAAGAAGAAGAAGATCTAATTGCTGCAGTAAGGTCACGCAGCGGGATCTGTGGTTGCACGAAACTTGATTTTATTAGTGCTACAGAAAGTACAACACAAAGAATTATGTATATCTTTACCCTATACAAAGAAATCATTTATTATATCCCAGTAAGGCGAAAACAGTAGCAAAATGAAAAGCAAAACGAAGAATCCAAATGATCAATGAATGACAATTATGATTACATAAATCATTATTTTCAACAATAATTTAACAAATAAGTAGAGACTTAACTAAATTTCTATACTAATTTATTAAAGAATGTCAACGCATCTGCATGACCCTCAGATGACCAAGGGCGGCGGTACCCTTAACATGTGCACCACCTGCTCGCTTGACAAGTTTAGACATTTAAAAAAAATACTTATATTAGAATAATTATTAGTCAGTGAATTATAAAAAATTCCCGATATTTTTTTATACAAAAATGGATTTTTTTCAATGTTAGGTTTTCGTTTTTTTTAGGAAACCATTCTGAATAGGAAATTATGAGTTGCACGCGGACAAAGTCGCGGATATTAGTTAGTCGTGCATAAGCCATCGCTGCTTGCGTACTATTACATACATTTAATGAAGTTATTATTACGTGCTCTCTCGGGAAAGCGCGTTAAATCGATCTCGGGCAATGGTATGGCTCATTTAGCGAAGTTGATATTCGAGGGGAGACTGTACACTATACAGCCTTCCAAGTAACGGCGGCGAGTACATAGAAGCGAGAAATTCAGGAAACTGGTGTAGAATTTCGTCAATTATCAAATAAAATTAAAAATGAAAATTGAACAATGAAATAATTACATAAAAGGAAAATGGGCTAGAAAACACTTTGCTAAGAAACAAATACAAATCAGGGATGAGTTCGAAAGAAAAGAGTTCTTTAAAAACTTTAAGTTCATGTTAAGTTTAAAATATTATTAAATAAGGTTACTAAATATAAACTTACTTACTTCCCCTTGAGTCACTCTATCTATGGCCGAAAACTGCATTAAAATCCGTTGCGCAGTTTAAAATATTTATGCAGGTTAATTCATTTAAATCTTCCCCTTGAATCACTTTATCTATTGCCGAAACCTGCATTAAAATCCGTTGCGCAGTTTAAAATATTTATGCAGTTTAATACATTTAAATCTTCCCTTGAATCACTGTATCTATTGCCGAAAGCTGCATTAAAATCCGTTGCGCAGTTTAAAATATTCATGCAGGTTAATACATTTAAATGTTCCCCTTAAATCACTCTATCTATTGCTGGAAACTGCATTAAAATCCGTTGCGTATTTTAAAAGAGCGAAACGTACAAACAACGCCGGCGACTATGTTACTAGTTATGTAAAGATTACGTTCGACGATTTACTAAAGCGCTACCGCTTGTCACAGTGCACATAGCACGCAGCAGACGAAGGGGAAAGCGATCGTTGACAGTAAAGCATTCGATTACCTATCAGCCGGTGAGGTATGGGTTTCTATGTAAGAGTATGCAAGAGGAAATGACGCTTTCAACGTCACTGACGCGATGGCGCTCTGTCGGGTCAGAAAAGTTTTGTAAATCACCAGCAACGATGGCGCAGTGATTCGATTATCGATATCCAAATGATAGTTAAACCATTTTTAAACAGAACTTTTAATTAATGTTACAATAGTACTGTATATTGTACCAATTAATTTTATATGCATAGTACAGGGAGATGTTGTAGTTTAAAATTTAACAACCATCAGCTTAACTGTTACGAGTACTGTAGTTTACAAAAAAACTTTACCGTTAAAGTTCTCAATTAAGTATCGCTCAAAAACGGCAAAAACCCATAAAATACGAACAAACAAACATACATAGATTTTTTGTATTAGAATATTATATCGCCTAGTGGGCAGTAGTACATCGGAGGCTATTAAGGTGGTTGATTGACAAGACATAAGTTTAATGTTCCACCTCTCGAAATTCTTATGTAGGAAAATCACTAATTCTAATGTTTCCTAAATCACGTTTGGAACTAAATTACGGTCTACAAAACGTGAAATTTTTATATTATAAAGTATTTTATATTATAAAATGGTTTATAATATAAAAATTTCACGTTTCACGTATCAACATTAATTTCACGAGCTAAGCGAATTTGTGAAAAACAAAACAAATTAATGGCAAACGACCAATACTTGTTTATTATTATGTATCGACACTGACATCATTCACTATTCCGTAACAATCAAATAATGTCGTTTATTACGCCAAATTGAATCATGACGTCTTGTTATAGAGTCTAAATTAACTTGTACTATATTGATGAGCTGTTATGCTTCAAGATAACGCATTTTATTTAGGTACTGTCTTGCCCTTGGAGACCTTTGGAAAAAGTGGATTTTTGTTAGTGAAATTGAAATTATGAACTTCTGATGTAAATAAAGAAAGCAAAGGCAACAGCATTATTTATATGTAAAGAAAAATATTGTTTTCTTTAATTTAAATATTTTCGCGCATCGGCCGTTGATAAAATTGTTTTAAAAACTGTGGTTGACACCGGATTATAACAGAAAAAGAATTAAGCCGTCATATGAAACAAAAAATACTTAATAAGTAAAATAGTGATTTAGTAATCGACATTGTGATTAATAACATCAACTCTGAAACACTGATCATCGTAGATGTCAACTAATCAGCTGTCAAATAGTTTTTTACATTTCATTTTAGTTGCTAAAAGATGGTTAAACTGTTATAATTGACCAGAATGATCTTCTTAATGATCAGAATTATCAATTCAACGAGTTTAACCATCCCTTTGGCCACTCAGATGACATTTGAAAAGCCATTTGACAGTTGATTAGTTGATTTCTATGATTTCTATGATATTCTCATGTACGCCCGGTTTCTTTACTTACAGAGAAACTCAATTGTGTTTTGATTGCTGTGTCATCCAAGTCACTGAAAAATATTATCTTATAAAACGACATTTAATGTTATTAATCACAATATATAATAATGTCAATAAATAATGTCGATTCCTAAATCACTATTTTACTTATTAAGTATTTTTCATAATAAAATTATTTTCATGCATTGTTTCATTTGATAGCTTAATTATTTTTCTGTTATAATCCGACGTCAACCATAGTTTTTAAAATAAATTTTATCAACGGGATCATTTAAATAATGTTTATTATAAGAAAGTTAAGAAAAGTGACAAAATAATTCTATCAGAGAAATTTAGTATAGGATTAATCAAAAGTGTACATACAGACCTAGGTCATTTAGGAATTAATCAAATGCAAAGAATGATTAGCTCATTGTATACAGCAGAAAACATGACAAAAAACATAAAAAGTGTCTGCGAAAGTTGTATAGTATGTGTAAAGAATAAGTCCAGAGGACAAAATAAATATGGATTGATGTCCCAATTGGGTCCCGCTACAAAATCTTTTGAGATATGTTCCATTGATACCATTGGAGGCTTTGGGAGTTCAAGGTCGACAAAGAGATACTTGCACCTGCTATCAGATCATTTCACTAGGTACGCATACATTTCAACATCAAGTACTCGAAATGCAAATGATTTCATTAAAATAGTGAAAAACTGTGCAGAAGCTGACGATATCGGCATGAGTCTCTCAGACCAATATCCAGGTATAAATTCGAAGGAATTCAAAAGATTTTTGGATGAAGAGAATAGTCCAATAATTTTTACTACAGTTATTTCGCCCTTCTCAAATGGTTTAAACGAAAGACTAAATCAAACATTGGTAAATGAAATAAGGTGTAAGTAAAAAGAAAAAGACACTAAAATTGCATAGGCAACTATAGCACAAATGTGTGTAAAAAATATAATGAAACGGAGCACACTGTCATTGGTTATGCTCCAAAGTAGCTTTTAAACGGCACAGACAGGAAAAAGGCTGTGATAAATGTAATGAAATAATATAATTACAACAAGAAAATTTACGATAAAATCGAAGACAGAATTCAAAATTGGTGATGCTGTTTTTATGGACAATGGAAACAAATTGAAAGGAAAAAAGCTTGGTGAACTGAGAATCGGACCCTACAAAGTTATAGTAAATATAAACATCAATTTACAAGATAAACACTGACTGTAAGAAATTACTCTAGCGCCTATGCTTGAGAGACCATAAAGAGGATGTGTGGGTAGTCGTTATGTTTTATCTTCTCTGGGAGGGGGAGATGTAAAGAAAAATATTGTTTTCTTTTATTTAAATATTTTCGTTAAGTTAAATATTGTAGGAATATCATGAAACTGTCATAATTTTTTTTAAAAACATTGCTCCTACTTAACATTATCCTGTGTTGTAAGGACGTTTTACAAACATCCGTTTTACTTTACGGTGGTAGGGCCACACAACACTGTTGCACGAATGGGCAAGTCCGTCCGGGTAAGTACCACGACCTCACAGAAGACCGGCGTAAAGTAGAAGTGTTACACTTTTGCGTTTCGTTTGGTGAGTGAGGTAGCCGGGGCCCACTTGATTTAAGAGTGGCAACGCATTTGCCCCTACGGGTGTTGCAAATGTTCATGGGCCGCAGTTATCACTTAACATCAGGTGAACTGCCAGCTCCTTTGCCACTTTCTCTTACCCGGTCGTGGTACTTACCCGGACGAGCCTACCCATTCGTGCAACAGCCGAGGCTGCTGTATGGCCCTACCACTTATCTCAAACATTATAATGTAAATAGACAAAACTCGTATTTATGCTAAGTAACAGTGTTTATTTAGGTTTATACTTTTTTTCATTTTGATACAGTACTATGAAAAGTTTGGACAGTTCGACAGTTCGAGTTGTAGTGATGTGCTTATAATGTTAAATAACTATTTAGTTATGATTAAATTCCGATGTAAGTATATTAACGTTGCCTAGTGACATAAAAGAGAAACGTTATAAAGACATTTCTGCTGCAATATTAGCATGTTATAAAACGGCTTCTTTAACAACCAATATGTTTTTTACAAAGAGACCGCATTGGGCTAAACCGCAGCAGTAAATAGGTGAAAAGCTTTAAACATTGTATCATGTTTTTATTTAAACAAGAAATAGAGTAGTGCATAGTATCTGCCTATAGATGCCATGTAGAGAGTAATAAAATTTTGAAACAGTGTTTTTTTTCTAATATTCTAATATATAATTATAATACGGGGTTGAAAAAAATCTTAAAATCTTCTTCTAAAACTTGTTAAAAACATTTCTTACTTGATGCCTGTATATAGTGACTGGTAAGAATTATGGACTAGTGTATATAAAGCGACATCTAGCGGCGATCATAAGTACCATTGTCTTTATAATGTTTGACCAATAAGAGTTCTACCAAGTAACACTAGATGGCGCTTATATAAATTTAATAAATTATAGATTTGTAAATACAAATCTAATAATTTTACTGAGGATGAAAATGTAACATTAGTCTTAGTGTCATTGACTTCTTATATTACGCCTTATATCTTAAATATTTATTTAATTACTAAAACTAAAGCGTGTTAAAATATCCAAGTTTAATATTTTTTATGCCTCAATGATAGACATACTGTAAGCTATTGGTTATGTATGGCATTGTTAATTTATAATTTTCAATTGATCTATAAATAATTTTTTTCATTAGTTAAATCTTTATATTTTTGTCTATATATTTTTAAACTTTTTACAATTTTCATATCATGAAAATTTAACTATAAATTAAACATGAAACATATAATATAATTTTATTTTTTCTGTTGCGCTATGATTTTAAATTTTTCACAAATAAAAAAATGTCCATAGAAAAAGACAAATTGAAAGAGCTTATTAAGGTAAGCTAATACTTAAGCCTTAAAAGTCGAAATTATTTCATAGAAGTAGCCATATTACCATTAAATGTGATCCTAGTAGCATACGGTCCAGTATATATATTTGTTTAAATACACGGTTGACCATATTCTCCATATACGCGTTTGGTAACAGTTTAAGTGAGTGTCGTAAAGTTGTTTATTTGTTTTCAAGTATGTTACGAGATCAA